TCGTGCTGTCTCCTGTAGACCTTTTCATCAGCTAATACCTGTGCTGGGCTATGTTTTTACTTTCTGAATTAATTAATAGCATGAATTTTACTTATTTGAACAGTTATGCTTCAGCTTTTCGTGTATAGGAGCTTCAAAAAAAGTCATCATTCTCTCACCACCTATCTCCCATTCCCCTCCTACTGTGCATTCTGCTGCCTTGTTTTGGAAGGTAAAATCTTCCACTTGTGTGAATATTCATTGCAGATCCTTCTGCAGCCACTTCTGTCCCAAACCTGACCACCTGCCTATAGTACTAAATTCAATTCCTGGGTTAAAAGCCACCAGATCTCAAATGCACTATGGTGGAGTTTGAAGCTCAATATTCTGTCATATTGCAGTTATTAGACAGCACAGCCTTTTCAGTTTGGTAAGAAGGACAAACTTGGATTTATATGCCATCTTATCACAACTCTGAAATGTCGTGTTTTTAAAAAAAATTCACAGGACTTCAAAGTTCAGCGCTCCTGAAGTGCTTTGGAACAATTGAGACAGCCATTGTTTGTATCTTATGGTCCTGCAAGTAACAATGAGACAGCTTGCTAGTTATTCTATTTTGTAGTGCTAGTTGAGGGAAAGTATAAGCTAGGTCGTAATGTAATATTTCTGAATAGCTGTAAAGAGCAGGTTTTATACTTTAAAGTGTCTGGCAATTTAAACTTTTAATTTACACCTTTGCAGCACACAAGTTGATTTTTTTTTAAAAAATGTAAATCTTGGTTTTGTTTATTGTAGGATCGGTCTGGCCTGAGAGGGCTAATCCCTGGCTCAGGAAATGGAAGATTAATAAATCCAGTGGTCATAGATAAACAGCGATTGTTTCCTCAGGATGAGAATCTGTGTAGGCCTCCACAGCCAGGCAGTACCCCTACTGGTGAAGTGAATGCTTCCAGGTACTTGCAATCTAACTAACATCTATTTGTATTTAAATAGTCGTACATACTGGTTGACTTGCTAGAGTCGTCTGTTAAAGCATGTGGAGCTAGCTGAATGTTTAAAAACTACCTTGATCACCGTGCTATTGGCTGAACTCAAAAGAAGGCATTGCTGGATCTAGTGCTGGGAAATGAAGTAGATCAGATGTCTGTGGAGTTGCATTTCATTGTGCGTTTATCATATCTTTTAGATTTGAAATGGAAAAGAACAAGAAACAATTCAAATAATTCTAAGGTGGAAAAGGGCTATTTCAATATGATGAAAAAAAAGCCAGTCAGGGTGAAATGGAGCTAGAGATTGGCAGGAAAAGAATGTTGTGGAGCAATGAGTAATCTTTAATGAAACTGATTCTTCACATGCAGGCTAGGTACATTCCAACAAGGGAAAAAGGTAAAGAAACCAAAGCAGGACTTCTTGGATGATGAGGGTGGTAGAGATTATGATGAAACAAAAAAGGAGGGTGTGCGCTGAATGTCAGCTGAGTTCTTCAGGTGAAAAATCTGATCAAGCACAATATGTCAAGAGGAGAAGTAGAGGAAAATACGGCAGGCAAAATGAAAGCATGCAAATAGTGGAAATGTCCACATCTATGGAGATCGAAGCTGGGTTAATATTTCAGGTTGATGACCTTCTCATGAAAATGGGATATAGTTCAAATGCCCTGTTCTGATCATATTTTGCATTGTTGGAACTTTTTTTTAAAATCATTGGAGATCAAGTTGAAGATTTTGGTATGATAATATTAGATTGCAAAGGGTAATATCCATAATATGACATCATAGGGAAATTGGAAGAGGGCTAATTTGAATATGTAAACAAGAAATCCAGTCAAGGTAAAGTGGAACTGAAGATTTATAGAAAGGAAATATGGTGGTCAACTTTCTGTATTGCTGTAGGGTACTTGCACTTTCTAAACGTGTTGATGTTGGATGAGTCTTTCTTTCCATGTTCCCTGAAGTTATTTGTCACTAATTTTTTTAAACAAGCTGAGTAAGATGTTATTGTTAGGATCTGTTGATGAATAATGTCTTGAAATTATTCCAGTTTTAAAGGGAACTCTGACTGAAGATAGCTGCTTTCCATTATTTATATCCACAATTGCGTATTTTTTCTAGACAATCAGGAGTTGGTAACCCGCAAGGATTTCACCCGAGAAGCTTACCGGCTGCTCAACAGCAACAGTGGCAGCAGCAGTTAGTACAAAGACTTCCTGGACAGACTCGTTTCCAGCAACCTGAGGCTTTGCATGTTAGCAGGCCTGCAATGACCATGCAAATGAACAACACAACTGGACTTAACCCTCGAATTTCCACTCAGATCACTTTTCAAAATGCACAGCAACAAATTGTGGCTTCACCAATTCCTGTGAGCCCTCAGTACATAGAACTCAGACACAATTCCCAACGCTTACCAATTGCTGCCCAATTGACACAGCGCCCTCCCCAGCCAAGACAGCGTCTTCCACTACCAAATCAAGAAATCAGTCAGTTTGTCCACCAAATGCAAGGTTGCAAGGTCTTGCCAAGGGGTCCAGGTACACCTTTGTCACAGTCACCAGTTGGGATTGCACTCTTACCGCAGCAGAATATCTCTGCTCAATTGTCATCTTCACCTCATTCAGCTGAAGTATCAAATGCCCATCAGCATATCCAAACAAAAGAGCCTTTAGAATCTACAGCACAAGTTGAATCACAACAAACATTTCAGGCTCCTTCATCGACATCATCCTCTTCTAGTTGCTGCTCGGACAGTTTGAAGGACAGCTCCATATCCTTTCCGCTTAACTCTGTCCCATCGATGTCCAGTGTAGTTACAGAACATGCAGAATTGGATCCTCGGAAAATCCCTTGTGATGATTCAGTAGAAAAAGCCTTAGATGAGGAACTTGACTCACCTAAAGAGCTAGATGAAGAAGATGACCTTGCCAATCTGAGTCTTGACCCAGACAGTAAGACAGACGATGAGCTTGGTAACCTTGATAACCTAGAAACCAATGACCCCCATCTGGATGATCTCTTGAAGTGTGAAGAGTTTGATCTGTTGGCCTATACTGATCCTGAGCTAGACACGGGTGATAAAAAGGACATTTTTACAGAGCAGTTACGTTTAGTAGAATCTGCAAATGAAAAGGCAGAGGAAGGTCAGGATATACTAAGTAATCAGGATGCTGTAAACCCTGCAATTAAATGTACAAGTGATAAAGTTAACAAATCGTTAACAATGAAAAAAACGGCAAAGGGAGAGGGGCATGAAAAAGCATTAGCTAAATCCGATGTCATTGCGGATACACATAACCCTATCGGAAGTAGGCAGAGTGAATCAGTGAATAATGTCACTTCAGAGACGAACAGTAGCAATCAGTGCAGTGATCCAGTTAACAGGGCCCCATCTACTGATGATTCTCCTAAACCTGCTCTTGATCTAGTACTGAAGGTTGAGGAGAATATTTCCCAAAATTCAGCTTGCCAATTTGTAGCAAGTACATCTAATGCACAGACAGTTTTGATAAAATCTGAAAGCCAATCGAAGGGAAATGGTGAGAGAGGGGCAGCATCAATGCTACTCAGTATTGGAACTGGCCTTGGTGTTAATGCAAGTGGAGCACAAAGTCATAGCACTGAATGTACTACCAGTGGAACGCAAACTACTGCTCAGAGTAGTACAGTTGCTTCAAGTGGTCATGGGACAACACGTATTCCCAGCAATGGTCATTCTAACTTGGATTTAGAAAGTATACCTTGCACATCTTCAGCTCAGATAGTGTCAAAGATACCACTAGCTGTTCAGTCTAGACCAACAATGGATAAACTTGGACTAGATGAGATGTGCCATCACGTGCCCAGTATGGAACCAAAACGTCGATCTATGGATGATCTTGTTAAAGTAGAGAGTTCTTTGGAAGCAAGTGAGCTTCCACTACTCCTCCATGACTTACTTGAGCAAGAGAAAATAGAATTGCAGCAGCAACAATTGGGAGGATCACAGTGTGTACCACCACCACAACCGCAGCAACATTCAACACCTAAGGCCCTTCAAGTTCTGCAACAACTTGAGGTTTCACATCAACAGAGTCATCCAGGACTTTCTCAACACCTTTCAACAACACAGCAATCTCAGCACCTTGAGGGGCCATCACAGAATTTAAACCTACCACAACAACATATCCTGGGAGTGATACAGCATCATCACTTGGGGATCCCAAGATCTCTTCCATCTTCACAGCAACAACAGTTGACAGCGTCACAACAACGGCTTGGAGCCTCACCACATGTCGTCATGTCGCAACAGCAGCAGCAGCAGCATGTGGCAACAGGGCAACACCCACCACAGCAGCTAGTGGCTTCACAACAGAGTCAGCATATGACCTCCCCACAACTGCTGTCAACTCAGCAGTTGGCTGTATCGCAGTTGGGCATCATGCAGCAGACACAGCAAGTTGTGATGCAGCAGCAGCAACAATTAGCCAATGCTTTCTTCCCAGATACAGGTACAGTAGGTAATGAGGGAGCTTGCAGATAATATTAAGTTCTTCCTGGTTGTCCAGAATTAGCTGATGCACTAATTCGGCAATATAATTGTCTTGATGCTGTTTTTGTGTAGTTCAAGTGGGTAGTAAAGATCCCACAGCAACATTAGAGTAATAGGTTTTCCGTGTATCTTGGCCATCATTCCTGCAGCAAGCAGCACCAAAAAAACTAAACTAAGATATACCAAGTCATAGATCTTGTTGTTTTTGGAATCTTGGTGTGCACAAAATGACTGTGGCATTTACTGTCACTGCGCTTCAAAGTAACTCAGTGTGTGAAGTGCTTTGAGACATGTGAGAGACATGATTATGCACTATATAAATGCAAGTCACCTTATACTTTTACCCCATTAATTTCAATTGTTTTTTGTTTTTCATTAGGGAGGTGGTCTTGCGTTCATTACTAAAGCTCATTTTATCTTTCCACCATTGCAGTTTCCCATATTTAATTTATTCAAACTGCACTTCTGATTTGCACAGCTGTTTAGTCAAATTTCATGTCTGTTTTAGTGATGAAAATTATGGAATTCAGTAAGAATTTGAGCAAGTTACCATTTACAAATGGAGGCAGTTGTTGCAATTGCTGTAACTTGGCAGAAATTAAAAGGGAAGCTGCAAATGTTAGAAAACATGCAAGGTGACATTTAACATTGTAACTAGACCTGTGTCCTTCTCGAATAACTAGGACTAACTGCTGATGGTCAACTGGTTTAATTCTTATTTTTGTGTATTCTGGACCCATCGCAGTTCAGTCATAGTTCATTTTGTTTGGTCACCATAATTCTTTTTCATTCTTCATCCTCCACGAACTGTAGGAACATTGCCTATTTGTTATATTCAAAGGAAACCATGCACTGTGTCATCACGTGAAAAATCTCAAGATATTGTGGCTAGGTGATGCTGCATGTGATCTCCTCTTGCAATATGTGGACTCTGGGACTTCTGTCACTGTATTAATGCAATATTTCACAGAAAATCTTTGGTGTTCACATCATATCCTGTCAACAAAAATTTTGAGTAACCCTTTCTTCAGGTGTAGATTTGATGAAATAGCATTGTGCATTCTGTTAATTCAGTTACATCCAGATTTTTGTGTCACCCTTTTAGGAAGATTTATACTGAGAGGTTAAACTAGTGCTATCCCCTTTCAAGTGGAGCATACTGAAGAAAGAAAAGCTATGATGTTTTTAGTTTCTTTTTATAGAAGGAAAGTTTTTGCATGTTGTTGTAAAAGTTGTCCAACCAGCTGTAATGTTGCTTCCATGGCTGTAACAATTTTTATATCAGTTGATCGAGTGGTCAGACCTCTACAACAGAAAGGCTTTAGGGGTTTCTGCAACTAATGAGTATGGAATCCCTGCACCTGCTAGCCAAGACTATCCTGCTGCATGCGTACTCGGAATTCAGGAACTGCCAAGAGTTGGGTGTGAATCTTGCATCTTAGTCTGAAGCAGGGATATGATCGTGGGATGTGGGTGAGGCTTTCTGGGCCAGCATTTATTGCCCATCCCTAATTGCCCTTAAGATGGTGGTGGTGAGCTGCCTTCTTGAGCCACTGCAATTCATTTGGTGTCCACAATGCCCTTTAAAGAGGGAGTTCCAGGATTTTGACCCAGCGACACTGAAGCAATGGTGATATATATCCAAGTCAGGATGGCGAGCGTCTTGGAGGGTAACTTGCAGAGGGTGTCCCGGGCATTTGCTGCCCTGTCCTTCTAGATGTTAACGGTCATGGTTTTGACAGGAAAACAAAATCAGAAATTACTGGAAAAACTCAGCAGCTCTGGCAGCATCTGTGCAGAGAAATCAGAGTTAATGTTTCAGAATTTGTTTCTGATTTTCAGCATCCTCAGTTCTTCTGTTTTTTTTGTTTTATGGGTTTGGAAGGTGCTGTCTAAGGAGCCGTTGTGAATTTTTGCAGTGCGTCTTATGGTACAATGCGGCTTTTGAGCATTGGAGAGGGAGTGAATGTTTGCGGATGTGGCGCAAATTAAGTGGGATGCTTTGTCCTGGGTGATGTCGAGCTGCACTTGTCTAGGCAAGTGGAAAGTATTCCATCACACTCCTGACTTGTTCCTTGCAGATGGTGGACAGGCTTTGGGAGTCATGAGGCCACATACCAACCCAAACCTGGATATTGTCTAAGTCTGTTTCAGAGATAGTAGGAACTGCAGATGCTGGAGAATCTGAGATAACAAG